CATATATACCTCCTCTTATACGCTCTTCCGCTCTCATCCCTTATAATTCCATAAATAGGAATGGTTGTATCTTTTAAAGAAAATTGTGAGTGATGCTGTCTCCCTTATCGCTGTATCCGCGTGGAATGATATTATTTAGAAGATATCTACTCATTAGTCCTCAGAGTGGGTGTCGCCCGATGTAGAGTGGCCTTGGGTTGCCATCAATCTGTCATTCTTTCCCTTNCTTCCTTAATTGATTTTCCATCCTTTCTTCCTCCCTTTCTTTTCTTTCTCATTCTTCCTCATTCTCCCTGCCTCCTTCACATCCTTCCCTCCTCCCTACCTTCCTTCCTTTCTCTTCTTCTTACTCTTTCCCTCCCCTCTTCCGTTCCTTCCCTCCCCACTCTTTCAACAGACAAACAACCTACCCTCTTCTTCCTCTCTCCCTCCCCCCTCTCCCTCTCTCCCTCCCCCTCTTCCCCTCTTCCCCTCTCTCCAACCTCTTCCCCTCCTCCCCTCAACTCATAAATAGGATGAGTTATTCCTTTTAAGAAAATGAGGATGCCGTCTACCCTTCGCCTCTTCCCGTGAGTATCTCCGCCCCGAGTGCCTGGAGTGCGCTGGAGTGCCAACATCCTGCCTTTTCCCCGTTCGTCTTGATGTCGTCGTGGAAACTCGGGGCTGTTGAGGGAAACGTTCGGAGGATAAGCTGGGAAGGAGGGGAGAGGGATGGTAGGAGAGGGGAGGAGATGGGGGGAGAAGGAGAGTGGAGAGGGAAAGGGGAAGGGACGGAGAGGGATGAGAGGAAGGGGGAATAGGGAGAGGGAAAGGGGAGAGGGAAGGGGAGGAGAGGGAAGGAGGGGAAGCGAAGGGAATGGCGAAGGAGGAATGGGGAAAGGAGAGGAAGAGGGAATGGAGGGGGGGTGAGGGGAGGGGAGGAGAGAGGGGAGGGGAGGAGGAGGGGGGAGAAGAGGAGAGGAGGGGAGGGAAGATGGGAAAGGAAGGGGAAGGGAGGGGGAGAGGGAAGGGGAGGGAGAGGGGACGGGAAGCGAGGGAAGGAGGAAGGGGAGAGAGAGAGGAGGAAGGAGAGGGATGGAGGAAGGGAGAGGGAAGGGAGGGGAAAAGGAGAGGGAGGGGAGGAAAGGGAATAGGAGCGGAAAGGAGAGGGAGGGAGGAGGGGAAAAGGAGAGGAAGGGGAGGATAGGGAAAGGAGAAGGAGGGGAGAGGAAGGGGAAAAGGAGAGGGAGGAGAGGAGGGAGGTGGAATTTGTGGGAGGGAAGGAAGGAAGAAGGGAATGGAGTTGGAACAGAGGCAGGGGAAGGCGGGCGGGCTTACCGTGCTCGCTGTGATTTTCTTATGCTCAGTGTGTGTATGAATCTAATAGTGCATGTGCATTCATCAACCCATATTGCTGTAAGTGTGTGTGTGTGTGTGATGTGTGTGTGTGTGTGTGTGTGTGTGTGTGTGTGTGTGTGTGTATGAATGTGTGTGTGTGTGTGTGTGTGTGTGTTGTGTGTGTCTGTGTGTGTGTGTGTGAATCTACATTGTAATACATTTATACATCCATATCATAGACATTTGTGTGTGTGGCGTGGTTTGTGTGTGTGTGTGTGTGTGAATCTCATGTGCGTACATTCATTACATCCATTCATAGGCATTTGTGTGTGTGTTCGTGTGTGTGAATTTGTTTGTGTGTGCGTGTGTGTGTATGTTAAGTATGTGTGTTGTCTTGTGTATATGTGTGTGTGTGTATTTGTGTGTGCGTCAACCTACCCACCATTCTATCTCATCGGTATTATTTCTGTCTCTGCTTATCTCGTGTCCTTCTTCAAGCGAGCCAATCAACGCTCGTCAAGGCAGTGGGTGGAATCCAGTGGGTGGAATCCAGTGGGTGGAATCCAGTGGGTGGAATCCAGTGGGTGGAATCCAGTGGGTGTGAATCCAGTGTGGGTGGAATCAGTGGGTGGAATCCAGTGGAGTGAACCATGTGGGTGGAATACCATGTGGAAGTTAGGGATCCGGCAGCTGTTAAGCCGGTAAGGTCAAAGGTCGTTTCTTGCTTGCAACTCAAAACTCCGGTTCTCTCGTAATGCGTTCACGTCTGTACGCATGTGTTTGTTTATATGTATGTATGTATTTATCTATCATTTTGTGGCTATATATATCGATCCGTCTATCTACCTAGCTGCCTATATTATCTATCTATCTATCTATATATACTTACCTGCGTTTCTTATACCATACATCTATCTAGATTGTTACTAGCTGGTCCTTAATTCGGTCGAAATGATATAATATCACATTACAACATAAGGCCACATACTAATGAACCCACCCATCGCATTATGCATACGCCCATAAGCTCCTCCAAAGCATGAACACTATCCCACTTTTACACACGACACACAACACACTGCGGTGGAATTTCAATGAGAACAAGTTGCAACATGAAACAAAACGAAGGTAAGAGCAAGAGATAGCCACAGCTGAATAGCTGAAGCTTTTTCGCTAATGCTTTCGTGCAGGGCAACATGGTGATCCTGACGAAGCACACCACACAACACTACGACTAACATCAACACACACAACACCACACACACACACACACACACACACACACACACACACAGCACACTACACACACATTCACACAGAGCACACCACACACACAACACACACCACATACACCAACGACTACCACTACAAACACAACATCCTATTCAATCCTTACAAACAATTCATAGACAGATACACACACTGCCTAACCATAACAGACACACACACATCTATCACTCCTTCCTCTCTTTCACCCCCACACAGACTGCCCTAATTTATAGGCCACCATGGTTATAACAGCACCAACTGTGACTACAAACCTACGAATTCACACACTGTATTCTCCCCCCTCATCCAACATCACAACTAGACACTAACTTACACACACTCCCTACCAACTGTCACACACACAAACCTCACCATCTCTATCACTCCCATCCTACCATCACACTTTCAAATGTACAGTTACGCTCACCATCGAGACAGGGCACCACACACTGCAACCCACAATCGCAACCCTACCCACAATAGGCACAACACTACTCCTTTTAACACACGTTAGACACTAAACACAACCGCACAAATCTCTACACCTATCACACACACTTCCCAATTACACCTCCCACAAGCAAGTACACACACGTCACATATCACGTACTTCCCCTCCAGACATTAGCGTCCAACTTTACTACCCCTCTCCACCCTACATTCGCACATATTATTTATGTATCACACAAACTCCTCACAATCCTCTAACTCCCACAACTCACAACTTACACACTGCCAACATATACCACGTCTATAGACAAGCATACGGATTTAACACACATCACACGACTTCCCCACATGGTCCCAACTATACAACCTGCACACGCCACATCACTCCACTCCCCGCCCCCCACACACTCACTCCCCCATCACACTCCTTAGACTTCATCCCCTCACACACGCACAACACAACACACATTCCAACCCCCCCCGACCACACACAACACACTCCACTCCGCTTATTTGAACGCACACACACACTAAACCTCAGAGAGCAATTCGCTTAAGCCTCTTTTGGTAATTACGCTCTGACCCCCACCACACACACACTCCCAACTTTACACACGCACACACAAACCCACAATTCAACCCCACTATCAAGCACACACTCCCCCCCCCCCCACACACACACAACTCACACTTACACACGCACAAACACAAAACCCAACAATCCAACCCCACCCACAAGCACACACACACCCAACTTACGCACGCACCAAACACAAACCACAATCCAACCCCCACCACAAGCACAACACACACTCCCAACTTACACAACGCACAAACACAAACCCACAATCCTACCCCCCCCCACACACACACCCACTCCTCCCCCCCCCCCCCACACACACCAACCCACCACACGCACACACACAAACACACCTCCCCCCCCCCACACACACACACTCCCAACTTACACCCCCCCACCACACGCACAAACACAAACCACATCCTACCCCCAACACCCACTCCACCACAGCGCACAACACACAAACCCACAATCCAACCCCCCCACATTCCCCCACGCACAGCACACACACAAAACCCACAATCCAACCCCCCCCCCCACACACACACACTCCCAACTTACACACCCCCCCTCCCCCACCACACGCACCAACACAAACCACACAATCCAACCCACACACAATCACACACTCCACAACGCACACACAAACCCACAATCCTAACCCCCCCCCCACACACCACCCACTCCCACACTTACCCCACCACCACACCACACACACAAACCCACAATCCAACCCCCCCCCCCCACAAGACACACACCCCCCACAACAACACTCCCAACTTACACACTCCCACCACACGCACACACACACACACACACATACACACACACACACAATACACACACATTCACCCCCCCCCCCACACACACACACTCCCAACTTACACACTCCCACCACAACGCACAAACACAAACCCACAATCCAACCCCCACACACACACTCCCACCACAACGCACACACACAAACCCACAATCCACCCCCTCCCCCACACACACACTCCCAACTTACACCCCCCCCACCACACGCACAAACACAAACCCACAACCCACCCCACAACCACACAATTACACCCCTTCCCCCACCACACGCACAAACACACAACCAAACCCCACATCCCAACCCCCACCCCCACCACACGCACAACCCACACCCCACCCAATTCACCCAAGCCTTCCCACCACACGCACAAACACAAACGCCAATCAATCCCCACACACACTCACACACCCAAATTACACACCCCTTCCCCCACCACACGCCACAAACACAAACCCCACAATCCAACCCCACCCACACCACACAACCCCCAAATACACCCCTTCCCCCACACGCACGCACAAACACAAACCCACAATCCAACCCACCCACACACACACACTCACCATGTTTCTGTGCCCAGTCGATGATGGAAGAGAAACCGGCCGTATACGAAGATTTGCAGTCCTCGAACTTGCCGGTGCTGTCAAGGCCCACGGTGTTGACATTCGCCTTGACACCACACATGAGGGCGGTGGCACAGGCCGAGGAACCCCCAACTTGGGCGTCGATGTTGTAGGTCTGGAAGGAGATCGACGTCGAGTGTGAAAGGTGGTTTATGTTCGTTGAAGGAATGTGTCGAAAATGTTTTGATTTTTTTATTATTATTATTATTATTTTAAATGAAAATGGGTATAAAGTTGAAAGTATGGGTGTATATGCATATATATACACGCACGCACGCACACACGCACACGCACACACACACACACGCACACACACACACACACACGCACGCACGCACCACACACACACACACGCACACGCACGCACACACACACACACACACACACACCACACACACGCACACACACACACCACACACACACACACACACACACACACACACACACAATTTGAAAGAAGTAATCTATTTTATGAAAAAAATGTATATGAAAAATGTACTAAATGTGAAAAATATGTATTCAGTTGAAATATTAGTAATGGCTATCATTAACAGCTAAAAAAAAAAAAAAAAAAAAAAAAAAAAAAAATGCTTTATAGATATAGAAATATTCCTAATTACAGTTTAAAAGATTATAAAAAGTGAAATGAGATTCATCGTAAATGAAAAATGATTCATGCAAGAAGAAAAATGTATCTTCAATATAATCACAAAAGGTTATAATAAAGAAAAATAATATTTCTCGTACATGTAAATCATTAATACATAATAAAATACTTATCATATCTAAAAAAAACACCCATTCTAAAAAATAGCCATTATGAAAAACAAAATAATGATATACTATTTCTCGTACATGAACATCATTAATATATAACAAAAACTCAATATCTATAAAAAAATGAACATCATTAATATAAATAATAAAATATAAAAAAAAAAAAAAAACATTCTAAAAAATAGCCATTATGAAAAACAAAATACTGATAATCTCTAACACATCAATTTTACAACCACAAAATCCATCACATACACAACATGAATAGGAATCCACAGCTAATTGGTTCAAAAAAACGAATCCACAAAAAAGGGTAGAGGGGGGGGGGAGGGAGGGGAGGAAGGAGGGAGAAAAGAGGGGGAAGGGGGGGAGAGGGATGGAGGAGGTGGGGGGAAGGGAGGGAGAAGGAGGAGGGAGGAAAGGGAGAGAGAGGAGAAGGAGGGGGAGAGAGGGAGGAGGGAGGAGGAGGGAGGGAGGAAAGAGGGGGAGGAAAAAAGGGAGGGGGAGAAAGAGGGAGGAGAGAGGAAGGGAGGAAGAAGAAAAGGGGGAGGAGAAAGGAGGAAGAGGGAAGAGGAGGAAAGGGGAAGAGAGAGGAGAAGGAGGGGAAAGAGGAAGAGGGAGGAGGAAAGAGGAGGGAGGAATGAGAGGAGGGAGAAAGAAGGAGGAGTGAGGAGAGTGAGCTGGCGTAGAAGGATATAGATAGATAGGGTAATAGATAGGAATAGAGATAGATAAATATATAGTTTAGAAAAAGAGATTGATTGATACGTACACAGACAAACCGATAGGGAGATAGATGGATAGACAGATAAATAGACAGGAACGAAGAGAAAGATAGATAGACATAGATAAACAGAAAGACAGACAGATAGATAGCAAAAGATTAATAGATAATTATATAGTTTAGACAGAAAGAGAGACATATAGATACTTAGATATATAGACCAATGGATGGAGAGGTAGGTGGAGAAATAAACAGACAGATGGATAAAAAAATAGACAGGTATAGGGACAAATGAATAGAAACATAGATTGATAGATAATAGAAATGTACAGAAAGATGTAGATAGATTGATCAATAAATATACGAATACACATACATACATACATACAAGAATACATGCATACATACAAGAATACATAATACAAACATACATGCATACATACATGCATACATACATGCATACATTTGCAACATAGATGGAGAAGATAGAAAGATGAATAGATAGATATATAGATTAAATATAGAAAGAGGATAACATATAGATACAAATATAAAACAAATAACAAGAGCAAATATAGACATATGAATATATCATTATATATATCATTAAACAAGAAAATATGTAGTTAATTAGATGAGCGGATAGAAAGTTAGACAGATAGACAGTTGGGGAGCCTGATAGATACATACATACAGGTATGGATAGACAGGTAGATAGATAGACAGATAGACAGACAAACAAATAGATAGATATGTTGATACACAGGTACAGATGGTAGACAAAGTAAGTATATATATAACATATACATACATACATACATATATAAATAATATATATAATATATATTATATATATATATATATAATAAAAATATAATATGTATATATATATATTATATATATACAAATATAGTATATATATATATTATATATAATAATATATATATATATATATATATATATATATATATATATATATATATAGATATAGACAGACAGACAAACAAACAATATATATTTTCAATTTAGTGTTTTCATAACTAAATTACTTCGGGACGTAATGATATAGATAATATATATATATCAATGCACGCTTATTTAAAGGACATTCTGACAGACAGACTTAACAGATATCTAAATACGAAGGCGAAAAAAAAAGAAAAAATAGGAATACGGGACTGAGATATCGAAGTAAAATAAAACAATGATAACAAAATAAAAAAAAAAGAAAAAAAAAACGAAAGAGCGCAAAAAACGTAATTAAAATGAGCCAGACTAAAGTAAGCTGTAACGAGAGAGAATAGTGATAATAATAGATGATAAGAGAAACTGGAATGAAACGGACAGACAGTTAGAGAGAGAAAGGGGGAAAGAGGGGAGAGAGAGAGGGAGAGAGAAAGAGAGAGAAGAGAGAGAGAGAGAGAAAGAGAGAGGAGAGAGAGAGAGAGAGAGAGAGAGAGAGAGAGAGAGAGAGAGAGAGAGAGAGAGAGAGAGAGAGAGAGAGAGAGAGAGAGAGAGAGAGAAAGAGAGAAGAAGAGAGAGAGAGAGAGAGAGAGAGAGAGAGAGAGAGAGAGAGAGAGAGAGAGAAAGAGACAGACAGACAGACAGACAAATAAACCCAGGGCAATAAAGATTCACCAATTGGAGGGGAATTGACACTGTAATCTGGACACAGAGAGCATTTAGTCAGGTTCGCCGACAACCTGAAAGCAAATACAGTTTGTCGGAGGGTTATATGCTGCGATATCACATACACCCCCTCCCCCTTCCCCTTCCCCTTCCCCCCCCCCATTCCTATTGTCTGCACCCCCTCCACTCCGCTCATCCCTATTATCTAACCCTCCTCTCCTATCGTGTTATCTACCCCCTCCCCCTTATCGTGTAACCCCTCCCCATTCCCCTTTCCCTTTCACTAACCACCTCCCCTCTTCTCTCTCCCCCTCCTCTCCCTCTGTCCTCCTGTCTCTCTCCCTTCTTCCTCCTATCCCTTCTCCACCTCCTTCCCTTCCCCTCCTCTCCCTATCCCTGTCCCCTCCTCTTCCCCTTCCCCTCCTCCTCCTACCCTCTCCTTCTCCCTTCCTCTCCCTGTCCCCCTCCCACCTCCCTACTCCCCTACCCCATCCCCACCTCTCATCATAATCATTTACACGTACCTCCCTCCCCCCCCTCCCTTCCCTCCCCCACCCCACCCCCCCTTCCTTCGTACATGCCCCCCCCCTACCTGACGTCAGTCGCGAAATTAAACTTTTATTAATCTTCTTGTCAGAGTGAATGTCATCAGCGTGGATGTCAGTGCATCAGCTGGTATATGCCCGTGTCGTGAATGTCCTGCCTTTTGGTGTTTTATTCAAAGCTCGCGTGCATTGAGGCTTTTCCCCTTCTGATGTGTGTTGTATATCGCTCCTGGTTGGATTGAGAGAGTGATTTTGGTTATTCGTTTTCTCTCTTGCTTTGGCGAGAGAGGGGGAAGAGGGAGAGAGAGACGTTGGGATACATAGGTAGGTAGGTAGGTAGGTAGAGAGAGAGAGAGAGATAGAAGGAGAGGAGAGAGGGAGAGAGAGAGAGAGAGAGAGAGAGAGAGAGAGAGAGAGAGAGAGAGAGAGAGAGAGAGAGAAGAGAGAGAGAGAGAGAGAGAGAGAGAGAGAGAGAGAGAGAGAGAGAGAGAACAAAGAAAGAAAGAAAGAAATGGAGACAGAGAGACGGAGACAGACAGACAGACAGACCGACTTTTTTTCCCGATTTCATTAACAATACTCCTACCGCACACTAGATTCTGTTCCTACTATAAAGCACAATCCTTTAATATAATCTAATAACACACGCCCTCCATCTAAAGGTGCTCTCACACTGGCACTTTTTCCATCAATTTTTTTTACAATTTTCTGAAATTTTGTTCATTTTTGAGCGAATTGTCGATTTTCCAGTCAGACGATAATGATCGTTTCTGTCTGAGAACCTTCCCGTCAACATTTTCAGCCAAGTATAGTCAAATCAAGAGTTATATTCGAGAATGTTTGTATTTATTTTAAATAAAACTGTCATAAATTTGACGGAAAATGTGCTAGTGTGACAGCACCTGAAGTCCCTTACACACACAATAAACTTCTGATAAGTTTTACACAAGGCACTCTCTTCTTTTTCAGATTCCAAGCCCATTTTGCACGTTCATCCTTTCTTTAGTGTTCTTATGTCTCTCTTCCTCTCACACCGTTCAAAAAAAACGTTTTCTCACCTGCTTGTCTCTCTTCCTCTCACACCTTTCAAAATAAAACGCACAAATTCAACGCAAAATATAACTCAACATAACTTAAACACGTACATTAACATATTTCAACTTGACTCTCTCTCGCAATATTGGTTTTAAGTGAAGGGTTTCCAGGAACATTAACACTGTAGCTATCATTTTTGTTTGTGATACTTGTAAAATATTCATATTGACATGTAGGTTTATTGGATGTAGCCGGAGCTGTCATTTTATAAGAGCAATGTTACAAAACATTAAATATACATATAGGATATAATCATTTATTGGTGAAGGTATTTATCAGAGAATTATCTGTGCACTGTCTCTTGTATTCACTATAGTATAGTGATTACATGTAAAAGTATGCACACGCATACACATACTCACACGC